CCCTGAGCTGCCTGCTCCAGGCAGCAGCACCGCCGGGCTTTACCTGGGCAAGTCACTCCTGCGTCTCCATGCTTTCCTCCTCCTCGCCTGCAGCAGGTTCTTCCTGATTCTCCTCTTCCTCTTCTCCTTCTTTCTTCTCTGGAGGCTTCTCGTAAGCCTTCTCGGAAGGCGTCACTATCACTCCGTCCCACGTGGACATTTCTGAAGCCAGGTCTGCAAAACCTGACAGGGGGGGTGACCCTCAGCAGCACGGACAAGCCCTGTCCCCAGGCCAGGCAGGGGTAGCGTGACCCCCTGTCCCCCCACCGCTGCGGGGTTTAGCAAGTTGCCTCTCCTTGGAGCCCTGAACTTTCTCCAGCAACGCAGAGAACCGGTCCCATTCCCCCACCGAGACGCTGACAGCCTGAGTGGAGGACGACCCACGCGTCGCACCGACCCCACTTACAGCTGGCGTCGCCCTCTTGGCCGAGGATTTTCCTGTAGCCTCCGTGAGAGAGAATTCGGACGAGCGTCTGCGCGGTGTAGCACACCATGTCCTGCCAGACAGGGAAGAGTTAGAGCGCGGCCGGGTGCCGGCCCCTTCCCCCGCGGCAGAGGAGGCAGCTCACCTGCTGCTCGAGGGTCATAACCGTGTGGACTCTGAAGTTGCCACTCTCGCAGGGATCCGTGATGCCAACGGAGCCGGGGAGGAAGAGCCCCGCGGCCAGGATCTGCAGGCAGCGCCTACGGGACAAGATTTTGAGTTAGAAACTAGAGAATTCTAGCACAGAAACGCAGCCAGAAAGGCTGCGATAAGCACATCTACGCGAGGAGTCTGCTTCGTCTCCAGTTCGGGTCCCATCAAGCCCCGAGATGCCGCCGGTTTTATTCAGAATGTTCAAAACCGAGACAGTAACAGGAATTTCTAGGGCTGAAGCAAATGGCGACAGACCTGTAGGCGATGTTGAGAGCCAGGGGCTGCCTGGTGGGGTTGTTCATCACGGCGTAGTGCCCCTGGGGAGGTGAGAAAGGGAAGAGGGAGGTGGGATGAGAGCACAAGAATCCGGGAGCTACCCGTTGGCTGCGGCACGCCTGGCACGGCATCAGCGTTCCGCCTCGTGCGCTCACCAGCAGGTCCAGAATCCAGGGCGTGAGGGGCTCGAAGCCAGGGAATCGAATTCTCAGGTCTTTCAGCAGGCGGATTAAGACCTTCACCCTGGAGAAGACAGCAAGAGGAGGGTTCGTGAGGCGTCGCGCGCCTTCCCGCTGCAGGAGCAGCTCTCCCTGCTTTCCCCCTGTTCTGTGAAAGATTATTTCGACCCGGGCTCCGAGCGGCGGCTCCCGTTTGAGGCCAAACTCACGTGGACTGCGAAGCGTTCTCCTCGAACCAGCGAGCATGCCTGATGGCAGCCAGGGCGCTCTGCAGCACTTTGATGTCCACTGAAAGAAGCAGCAGAAACGCCTGTTTTTTCAACCAAAAGGTGAGCCGGTGCAGGCCAGGGGAGGCAGCTGGCTCCCCTCCACCCCGGCGAAGGTTCATGTGCAGGGCAGAGCAAGCTAAGCCCTTACGGTGTAGTTCGGGGTCCAGCTTGCGGAGATTGGGCGGCACCGTGGTGATGAGGATCTTCACCGTCGCATCGGCCGAGCTGATCTCAAAGCCGGTCTCGTTGGTCAGCATGGTCAGGACTGGGGAGGAAGAACAAGAATTCCTCACGGAGGGGCTGCAAGACCTTACTGGGAACGCGAGACAGACCACGGAGCTCGGCAGCGGTGCTGCGGCACCCGGCCGGGCACCGACCCCTTCAGCCGAAGCTCAAGCTGCCTCGCAGCAGCCTGTGTCCGCAACAACCCCATCTGACCCGGGAGAGCGTCCCACCTTCGCTGGGGTCCTGCGCCCTCAGGCTTTCCACGACTTTGTTTCCCAAGGCTGCCACAGCTTCCACTGGGGAGAAGAAGCAGAGGAGGGGGTCGGAGCGGGGCCAAGCGCCACGGTGCAGTCAGCAGCCGCGCAGCTGATACTCACGGGTGGGTAAGATTTTCAGAATCACCACCAGATCGGCCACGTTGTGCCCCGTCGTCATGGTGCCCTTCTTGTAGGAGCCCACCTGGCGAACCTCCTCGATTTGCTGTTTGAAGGAGCAAAGCAAAAATCAGTGGATTTAACACGCGTGCGACGTTTCCGGGCGTCAGCACAACTCTTTAGTCCACTTTGAGCCAGGTTTGGTCACTAGAATGCCAGCATCCCTCATGCCGAAGCATCTGCCCCCATCGCTTTTTACCCCCCAGGCTCACCACTTTTGGACTCACCACTTCAAACGTTCCTGGTGCTACAATTAAATTGTCGATCACGTTGTTTATTTTGGTCACCAGCGAAAGAATGGAAGCCTGAAAAGGGATTGGAGAGGGATGGTGTTACCAGTCGGTTGTCCGGTATGACCTGAAATAATCTGATCTTGCACAGCGTAACGCAGACGGCCCCGATGCAGGATATACAATAAACAGATTTAAAAATCACTGTCCAAGAAAGGCCACCCGTATTTCTACTGCAGTGCTTATTTCAGAGAGAAGTAATTAATGTTTAGGCCAGTAATGGCTACTGCTAGCTCTGCTCTCTGAAGGACAGTCTGGCATTGCGTTCTCTAACGCTGCAGTTAACATTCAGCTGAAGAATTGAAGGTCATTTTTGGTACGAAACCTGTTCGGCAGCAGTCGGGGCAAGATCCTGGTTTCTCTTCAGCAAGGCTTCACTGAACGCAGTCTCATCGGCGGCAGGCTTTACGCGGGGGAAAGCCATTTCGCACTGAAACGGGATCAGATATCAGACTGCAATGCCCGAGAGAAGGATTTTGGCTCAACCCACATCAGCAAAATTTACTCCGGGTGGTTTTTCTTTCATTCTCCAGTGCTTGTTTCCTTTGCGTTTCCCCATCGTGCTTTTATTTCACCTTCAGGTTATCCTAAGGGAGGGAGCGCAGCTGCCTACTGCCTGTACGCTCTCACCGCGCTCCGGCAGGAAAAGAGCTCCGGCTCTTCGGAAACAGCAGAGAAGCCACCAGCGCGCAGCTACAGGGGGTGAGACAGGGCAGATCTCATTAACAACAGGTCTGCCGAGAGGGTTTCTCCGGGCTGTTTTACAGTCCTTTAAGAGTAACACCCTCTGTCTGCAGATGGCTGGAGCTTTGCAGTTGCTGCGACGGGACTCGCAGCCACAGGGCCTGGGAAGGCAAGAGCAAGTGAATTTGTTTGCCTTGGAATTCACGTGTCTGTAACACGCAGCTGCTCAGCAGAAGCAGGAGGAAATTATTTTCTCCTATAAAAGCTGGGAAACATGCATTGCTGTTGGTCCTTGTGAGGACCCACATGGCAAAGGAGCCCGGAGGAAGGAGGACAGGGGAGGGACCGCTGTTGAAGCAACCCCCGAGGCTTGTGTTGGAGAGCTGACAGGACTGGGGGTCCGGGCGAGTGGGGTGCCTCAAAAAGCAGGAAAACCTCGATCAAGGCATTTATTTGTTGTGATTATTACTCAACTGCATCCCGTGTGACCCAAGTACTCCGAACGGAGACAGTAAGAAGATCTATTTCGGGTTAGTTACTGAACCAACAGCATTTTCAGTGAACTCCTTTACTCCAGCTACGCTAAAAGAAGTCAAACCATCAAAGTCAGCACAGAGGGTTTTTAAGATGCTTCTTTAAACAAGGAAAAGTCCCGCAGCTGTTGCCTGCAAACAGCTCCGTAGGAGAGGGTTACTCACGACATAGAAATCAAAGGGGATGTGCGGCACAAAGGGCCGGAACCTAAAGGGGGAAACAAAAAAACAACTTTATTCTCCGTAGGGATGTCCGCCCGCTTGCCGCAGTGTTTGTTGCCGCCAAACACCCCCCCCATCACCACGCGTGGAGATTTGTTCCCGAGAAGCGAGAAAGGCCCTACAGAAATAGGAAAGATTTCTTCATTTTCCCCCCTGACGCTAACTACCCCCCGCCCC